AGGGAGGGAGGCTGTCCGGGCGTTACTTCACTGCATTCTGGGGAGGTGGGGGCTGGGTAAGGACCCCACTTTGCAGATGGAGAAGTGGAGGCCAGAGGGGGCAACGTCACTACGTCACTCTGTTCGCAGGTGCCTGCCCTGCACAGGACGGGGGACGCCCAGGTCATCGCGACCACCCATCCCTGGTGGGACAAGGGCTGCAAAGCAGCGAGGACGGTCCGAAGGACAGGGAGGAAAGCTGCCTGGGGACAAGACGGGAAGGGACACTCCTTCATCCCCTTAGTGGGACCAATTTGCAGTCTCCCAACCAGCCCCTTCCCCATGACCTGACTGCTGCTAATAGCTAAGGACGCCCGCCTACTGTCCCGAGTTAGAGAAGAGGATGGGCCAGGTGACAGCCTGAAGCCATGAAGCCACCACTTCCCAAAGGTCCCCGCTTGGCCGGGCTGCATGACACTGCAGACACTCAGCCTTGCCCTGTGAGTCGGACGCACAGACCCAGGGGACAGCCGGGAACCCGCATTTTTATCCAACTTCCAGTGGACACACACTCCTGTCACCTGGCCCGCTCCTGTATTACAGCTGGGGACGGAGCCTGAGCAGAGAGGAGACCACAAGGGCCTCTGCGTCTGGGGGCAGCCCGTCCACTGCCCTGTGCTGCCCACAGGTACTGGGCCCACAGCCCCTCCCTTCCAGTTCACACGGGGTACACAGGGCAGTGAATGGGCTCTCCCAGCACTCCTGGCCAGACTTCCTCTGTGCCCCAACGAAGCACTGGGCCTGTGGGTGCCACCCTCACCAAGGAGGGGAGCCCAGCCACGGGAACCGCCAGACCACCCCATGCCCTCCTGAGGTCCCCGCAGGAGCCGCTGTCCCTCCGTCCCTGCTCTGGAGACCTCCCACTTGGGACCAGAGGGTGTGACCTTGGCAGAAGAGAAGACCCTCCCTGTGGCTGCATTGCTCACTGCCCCCACGCGGCCACCCCACCAGGGGCACACCATTCTCCTGGCGCCCTCGAGGGTGCCACCTTGCCAGGGCTGTGGACAGCCCAGGAGGGCCCTCTGCCCTGACTGCCTGGCTGGAATCTGAGCTTGCACCCGGGGTGGCTGCCGACCCGCTGCATAGTGAGCAAATGGCCCTGACCCAACCCAGCGAGGGGTGGGCCGCTGCCTCACCCTTTCCTCCGGTGTCCCCCACTTCTGTCCTGCGGTCTGAGGCCCAGGGACAGGCTAGGTGAGAACACTGCACCCCAGGCCTCCGCCCGAGCTCTTCCCACCTCCGCCCTGCCCTCTGCGACCCCTATACTTCAGACCCACCCCAGCAGACCCAACCTTCCCACCCTGTTCTGGCCCGAAATCAGCGAGGCAGCAATGTGCCTCCTTGTCACTAACGGGCACGGGGAAGCGACCGCGGAGAGGGCACCACCCTGGGGGGCAGTGCTCGCCTGGACGGGGGCCAGGCCTAGGGCACTTCCTGATCAAACTGCTCCCAAGCACCTCAGCTGGGACTTGACGTTCTCCCCACTCCTCACCTCCTGCCGCCCTGCACACGCACCACCCTCCCTCTCCACTAGGTGTCCCTGTGGAGCCGCTGACGCCCTGAGGGGAGCGGGCCTTCCCGCCCCAGCCCCCAGAACTACCAACCCCCAGGCGGTGCCCCCACCCACCACAGAGGTCCCTTGTGCAGCCCAGCCTACCCCTCCTGCCTTGGGGCACCTGGCCAGCAGGTCTGCCCCAGAGTACCCCGCCAGCCCCGGCCCTGGGTGCCAGGTGCGAGGGCGTCACCACCAGCTCTAGCTGGAGGAGGGTCACCCTGCAGGGCCCTGGGCCCTCCCTTCCTCCCTCCGAGGTCACTCAGGGACTGCTTCCCGCCCTGTGCCACCCCAGCCCTGCTGCCCTTGGCCCTTCCAGAAGCTTGGGTCTGGGCGTCTTCCCTGCCTTCCCTTCTGCCTCCGGAGGCCTCCCCTCCCCCTGCCCCCCCAGGCCTGCTGGGCTCCCCACCTCCTTCCCTCCCCAGGGCCTGGGCCCGCCCCTTCCCGCCTCAGTCTGCTGACCACCTACTCCTGGAAAGGAA